TGGGCCCCAGAACAATAACTTCAGTTTATCTGAGTTTAACATTAGAAAATTACAAGTCATCCAGGTTTTAACATCCTGAAGGCACATTTGAAGTTTAGCTAACGGATTAGTTTCATCTGGCTTAATCGATAGATATCACTGAGTATTGTTGCGTTTTTTCAGATTTTGAGAAAGGAGAGGCTGGATCCGATGAAAATTAACAAGAAAATTTAATTAAAAAATAGGTGAATAAAAGATGGCATTAGAGAACAAACATGAAACAAAAACACTGCAGTGGACTGGAAAGTTGTTCCTCTTTTCAGATTTACAGCTTACAGTCCTGATTCTCACAAAATGAAATTAATATCCTCCAGGTATGTGGGCGGGTCTTTTCCTCCAAATGGCTCAGGACCATAGCCACTCAACAGTATCATCTGCATAACAATGAAGGTTTATGGAGTGTTTCCTGATAATATTGCCTAAAGGAAGCATATATAAAGTGAAGAGGATTGGCCTGAGGGCAGATCCTTGTGGCACTCCATGACTAACTTTGGCGTGCATGGAGGACTCATCGTTAACATGTACAAACTGAAATCGATCTGATAAATAGGACTTAAACCAGCTTAGAGCGGTTCCTTTAATGCCAATGAAATGTTCCAGTCTCTGTAATAGGATCTGATGGTCAATGGTATCAAATGCAGCCTTAAAATCTAGTAAAACCAGTACTGAGACAAGTCCTTTGTCTGATGCAATTAGGAGGTCATTAGTAATTTTCACCAGTGCTTTCTCTGTGCTATGATGAACTCTAAATCCTGACTGAAAATCCTCAAATAAACTATTGCTCTGTAGAAAGTCACACAGCTGACAGATCAGGAATTTGGAAAAGACAGACAGGTGGACTAAATCCAGAACAGAAGACAATAGACCAGGATGGAAGAAACCGAACAAACAATACATCTAAAAGGGAAACAATGAACTTAAGAACACAGAACTAAGGGTCAGAACAAAGAACTAAGACACTGAACTACACACTAAGACATAGGACTAAGAATTAAGACAGGGAAGCAGAACTACAGACTAAGACATGAACTAGGACATAACAGGGGATGGTGAAAACAGATGTAGACCAAACATAAAATCACCATAAGAATAAACAAGGCAGATCAGTAAAACACAAGACATGGAACAAAAAAACCCGCAAATAATACCTGAAATCCTCAAACCATGACAAAATTAAATTTCAAGTTATGCTATTCAGATTCAAAAACAATACAAATTCAAATATGCTATATGGTCTTTGCTTCCGGCGCTGGCGCGAGCAGGATGCTGATCCAGTAGCTCCGTACGTGTCGTGTTGTTTTGTTTTATATACTTTTAAGTGTGTTTTTTTTTTTTTAAACTTTAACTCTTTATATAACACTAGCTGTGTAAAACTTTATATATCCTATGGATACAATTACTCTTTAGGGACAACATAGCAGTGGACAACTTGTTTATTCAAGGGAGAAGCTGCTCCAAACAATGGGACAACCTGTCGTGTGGAGCTGAGGAAGAGGCACCGAGGCTGCAGAGCCGAAGCGAAGGTGAAGGCTAGGCTAGCGGCTAAGCGGTGGAAGTACAAGCCCTCGGTTCCGTCGATAGTGATGGGGAATGTGAACTGTCTGACCAACAAGATGGACGAGCTGGCTGCCCTTGTGAGGACGAACAGGACGTTCAGGGAGTGCAGTTTACTTTGCCTCTCTGAAACCTGGCTAACCCAGAACACCCCGGACGCTAATGTGGATCTACCTGGATTCACTACAGTGAGAGCGGACCGGGACTGTGGACGCAGCGGCAAAAGCAAAGGAGGGGGACTCGCGCTGTTTATCGACAACAGATGGTAGAAGGAAGAAGAGGATGGCAGTCAAGGATGGTGACAGGGATGAGCTGAAGCGCGAACATGGGGAACACAAGGTCCACCTGAGAGAGGCGAAGGAGGACTACAGAAGGAAGGTAGAACAGAAGCTGCAGCACAGCAACATGCAGGAGCTCTGGGATGGCTGAATACCTCCAAGACCAAGGAGATGGTGGTGGACTTCAGAAGGAAGAAATCACATCTCCAACCTGTGTCCATCGAGGGGGTCGATGTGGAGGTGGTCAGGATTTACAAATATCTGGGGCTGTAGCTGGATGACAAGCTGGACTGGACAGCAAATATGGACACTCTCCACAGGAAAGGGCAGAGCCGTCTGTACTTCCTGAGAAGGCTGGGGTCCTTCAACATCTGCAAAAAACTGCTGCAAATGTTTTATCGGTCTGTGGTGGCCAGCGTCCTCTTTTATGCTGTAGTTTGCTGGGGTGGAAGCAGCAAGAAGAGAGCTGCCGGTCGACTGCACAGACTGGTGAGGAGAGCTGGCTCAGTGGTGGGCTCAGAGCTGGACTCTCTGGTGACAGTGGCAGAAAGAAGGACCCTGGACAAACTGCTGTCCATACTGGACAACGCCCACCACCCTCTGAACAACACCTTCATCGGGCAGAGGAGTGTGTTCAGTGGCAGACTGTGTCCTAGCCCAGCTCCACTTACTTCCATTTGCACTCCATCTGTACTGTTTACTTCCATCTGCATTCCATTTGCACCTTTTACTGTTTTGCACTGTGGCTACTGTGTTATATTTTTATTTTTATTTTATTTTAATATAGGTTTAATGTATGTATATTTTGTATGCTACTGGATACTTGAATTTCCCTCTGGATAAATAAAGTATCTATCTATTGTAGCAAACCTAGATTTAGTTATGCATTTTAATAAATTTATGAGAATTAATACCCAATTATGAATTTTAATATTCATAAAATCAAATTTTATTCCTCGTTTCAGGGCACCACCAGAATTGTTATAAACCTAGAGTCTCCGGACCTCTAGGTAGTTTTAATAATTATACAAATATTACTAGTGATCAGTTAATAATTGCTCAATTATCTTAAATCAGTCAGTCTCATATCTAAAGGGTCAATTCTCTTGGCAGGGACGTAGAAATAGGCAACACACACAGTTCTTGATTATATTACAGTGAATTTATTCTCTAATGTGATAAAAAGATGGTTGAATACCGGGAAAATAAACAATTGCTGAACAATGAGAAAGGAGGTTCGATTGTGGGAAGCATTTGACTCATACGGCATAGAAGAACTATTGAAAGTAAGCTAACGCTATGAGTTTAGGAGTTAAAAGGAAATCTGACCACAGAATGTGTGTTAAGTCTTACGGCTTGTCGGCCTGCTTTAGCCTGTTGCTGGTCCCACGCTAGCTGCCCGATCCTGGCTTTTTGCTAGGGATTCTCCGGGGTTCTCCGTGTCTGATTGAAAACGCCTCCTCCGTCTGGCAATTCGGCTGTTTTCAGGTTTCCTTCGTTGCCGCTGGCGAGACCACGCGGCTTGGTCTGACCTCGGTGAAGGTGGCTCGACGAAAAAGGCTTAAAATGGAACTTGGTCGTTCCTGAATTAGTCCAGTGTAACTTAACGGACTGATAACTTTTAACAAAACAAAAAACAAAAGAAATAAAGAAAATAAAACAAACTGAGGGGCAGATCGATGTCTCGGCACTTCACATGTGTAGCTTCAAGCGAAACAAAAGGCCTGTTTCGCTGGTCGACTCTGAGGGCGTTGCCTGGCGAAGCACGCCGAAGCGTGCGGAAGCGTCCAGAGAGAGCCGAGGGGAAGAGCGGAGAGCGAAGAGAGAAGAGAGAACAAGCGATGTCGCGTGTCGCTATTTTGTTGCCTGGGGCGTGGTTCCCCAGGGGGCGTCCTTTCTAAACTTAAGGTCTAAAGAAAAGAAATCTATTTGCACGTATTATAATCAAATATTTTCCACAATCGAACCTCAATGGTCAAACGGTTGTACTGTTTTAAGTTAAGCATTTGGTAACAGGAAACAGTTGTCACATTATTGGTCAGGATATTTATACATTTAACGGCATTTCCAACGAGGGCATGTAATACTTATTTCGTCCACTTGGGGGAGCTCAGGTTACATGAGGAAAGCTTAGATTAATCCAAGATCATCTCTCCTTAGGAACTGGGGAATATTGTTGATTCATCCTTAAATTCAAGCTGGCGATTAAGAGTATAGTAAGACATTTCTTTATCATCATTTCTAAAGGAATTTTGTAGGAAAGTATTATGAACAAGCATTAATTACATTAGATGGAGTGTCTTGCTGAAAATAAAAACTGCAAAAGTAACTTTCTTTTCAGCACTAATATCAACAACAGATAGCAACAACATGTTAACTACTCAAATAGAGGCAAACATAATCAAGTAACTAAAGATTTAATTAAACTTAATTAAATGCTTTGAGTCTTTGGAGACTGCAGTCCTTGGTCATCCAAAGTTCGGCTACCTGGGTCATGTCACACTTGGGTGAACAAGGTCAGTTGCCACGGAAACATGTGTGGAGGGGGGCAGTTTTGATAGGCTGTTCAGGGAAATGATAATCGCTGGTTCGTGTCCCTTTGTCAGTTTAACAGTCAGGCCCCGTGTTATCAGCGTCGGAATCAAAAGGGTGCCAGTTTTATGGTCAGGGATAGCACTTAAAGAAAGCAACTTTACCCCCCCTTCTTCTCTGGGGGACGAGAGAGGAATTTGGAGTAGCTCCAAATTTATTCAATATAGAATGCACAAATCCACACCGTTGTTCACTACACTATCTATCTATCTATCTATCTATCTATCTATTTATCTATCTACTGAAATTGAGTTTTTTAATACAATTATTCAAGTTCAGCAATTCACATTCAGATCTAAATTATTCAAATTCAGATTCTACTAACAAAAATATCTGCACATATCTTAGTTTCATTAACCTGACTTTTATCCACGTTTGCCCTTCACAAATCTAACTTTAGGAACTCTAACTAAAAAATAAATGGCAGTATATACCGTATGGCTTGAGAATTTTGGCCTCATTACAACAATTGTGTGAAAATTCAATCACCATGCATGTTAAATGCACATCACACGTGTTTGTATTCCTGTTTGATAGGTCCTACTATGCTGACATCTTAACAGAGCCTGCGACCATGGACCATGACTATGACCTGGATGAGTTCCCTCACACTTATTCCCCACACTTCAATCCCTATAGAGAAAGTAGGTATTGCCACACACACAAACGCACGTTACAGTTGCCAGTGAGACATACTGTATATGTTTAAAAGTATACAGTAGGATAAGTAAGTAAGTAGCCTACTATCAAGCTTTAAGTGTCTCCAGAGGGAGCTGTGTGAAGTCTGACAAATGTCCTCAAGTGAAGAACCACGTAAAGTCAAGTCAAACACAATTCACGTATAATCAGGATAAGCACTCTAATGTTTTCAAAATAGATCTGAAAGATGATTCTGACTCTGATGTCATCAGGCAAGTTGTTTCAGTCGCTGTACCATGACTTGGTCTCAAGCTTGACAGAACCTGACACTGCACATGCTTTAGTGTCAAACAGGGAATGAAATTAGCACCCGCCACGCGTGGGTAAATTGGTGGCGGTAGCAGGTAAAATCGTTGGGCCATCCGTCACTTTGGTGGACAGGGAAAATGCAACAACAGAAAGACACGTGTAGTACGGTTAGAATATTGTGGCAATCGGCGCACACACCTGCGTCTCACACACAGACAACCACCAGTCAGCTGAGGAAATATCTGTGAAATCCTGCATGTATATTGCTTGTCTGTTTTGAATAATACAGAAGATTAAAAATAATCGCATATTAAATATTAGATTATTTTCCAAAATCACTCAGCCCTAGTTTAAAGTGCTTAAGTCAATCTCAGTCATTATGTTCTGTACCATTACATGTATTCATTTAGCTGACGATTTTATCCAAAGCGACTTACAATTGCTATATATGTCAGAGGTCGCACGCCTCTGGAGCAACTAGGGGTTAAGTGTCTTGCTCAGGGACACAATGGTGGATGTGTCACAGTGGGGGATTGAAGCTGGGTCTCTCACACCAAAGGCATGTATCTTATCCATTGCGCTATCAACACCCCCGTGTACCAAAAAAGAATTAAAGTTTACATGGCACAGTATCCTGGTTTCTATTTGAGTACTAGCATATCCATGTTTCTGAAATCAGGCTATAGTGTTTACATGCACAGCAGTAATCACGATACTCCAAAAACCCTCATCACTAGTGCACATGTGAAATGAAATTCTGTCAGATATCAGGAAAGGATCAGGTGCTTATACATTGTTCATATTAGAGGTATGTTTTTTTTTTATGTTTAATGTTCATTTGTTAAAGGAGGCAAAGGCTGTTTTGTGACTGTGTTTGAAGAAATAATAATGTAACTTTCTTGCCTGTGACCTGACCCTGGATAAGTGGTATTTACAGTCCCCTCCTAAAGTATTGGAATGGTAAGGCAAATTCCTTTATTTTTGTTGTTCACTGAAGACATTTGGGTTCATGATCAAAAGATGAGTATGAGACAAGAGTTCAGAATTTCAGCTCTCATTTCCTGGTATTTACATCTAGATGTGTGATCCGAGGACGATGGGGGATGCTGGAACCAATATTTTGGAGATGTGATTTCTCTCATCCGTCTCTTGATCTTTCGCTCTCTCTTCCTCATTAACAAAGCTGCACAAATCTGTCCAATGTCGGAGACCCAGCTATTAAAAGTTATTAGCAAGCATGTAAGGAGCCTAGCTAATAAGGAGCGCTAAGTTAATGTTAGAATACAGCTGGGTTTTCGAGGCTAGCAAGCTGTATCTGCGCCACAGTTACACTCATCATTCTGTGGAAAACACTGAGTTATGATACTGTATTAACAGATGAGCTAATAAAGTCCAGTCAATAACTGAATTAAAACGGATTAATTTATTACTGAGATGAAAAGGGGCCACAAACACATTTATAGGTTACTTCCCCACAAAAGAGGTGGTAAGATTTAATCATGTGTGTTGAATCAGCAGGGATGATATTAAATAAGTTGATGTACAGGAAATAAATATTTAAAAGCAATAAGAATGCCTGAGAGCCTCACTAGATTATATTCTATTATAATTATATATTTTGAATTGTCACCTGCCACCTGAATTTTTAGACATTTCCACCATAAATTGGTGCAGAAAAGGCAGAAATTGGAGGAGAAATTTTCACCAAAATGCAGGAAATTAAGTGTTTAATGCTCAGTCTTCTAGGGGAGGACCCCCATACTCCCCCACTTAATAAGTGCCCCATCCAAGAAAACAGTATCTGGCTTCACACACAGTTTCTGGGAGGAACATTCACTTATTAGTTAAATTTAATTACTTTTCACATGGCTTTTTTGTTACCTTTTCCATGTTTTTATGATTTTATTATTAACAGTAACAATAAAAAAAAATCAACAATATTCAGGGCAAATAGCAAACATCTTTTTTGATGTGGGGCAGTAAGGGACCTGGATAATGGATAGGGGGGCGCTGGCCCAAAAAAGGTTGAGAAGCACTGACTTAGGACATATCACTGTTTGTATTAGACCACAGCATTCTTAGGTGAGCAAAAGTATTGGAACAAATAATCTAAAAATAAATAACATTTAATATTTGGTGGCAGAACCCTTGCTTGCAATAACTGCCTCAAGCCTGAGACCCATCGACATCACCAAACTGTTGCATTCTTCATTTGTGATGCTATTCCAGGCTTTTACCGCAGCTTCTTTCAGTTCTTGTTTGTTTCGGGGTGTTTCTCCCTTCAGTCTCCTCTTAAGGAAGTGAAATGCATGCTCTATTGGGTTAAGGTCAGCTGATTGACTTGGCCAGTCTAAAACCTTCCACTTTTTCCCTGATGAAGTCCTTTGTTTTGTTGGCAGTGTGCTTTGGGTCATTGTCCTGCTGCATGATAAACGTCCTTCCCATTAGTTTCTATGCATTTTTCCGTAAATTGGCAGACAAAATGTTTCTGTCCTCTTCTGAATTCATTCTGCTGCTACCATCATCAGTTACATCATCAACGAATATTAATGAGCCTGTTCCAGAAGCAGCCATGCTCGCCCAAGCCATGACATGACCTCCACCATGCTTCACAGATGAGCTTGTATGCTTTGGTTAATAAGCAGTTCCTTTCTTTCTCCACACTTTGGCCTTTCCATCACTTTGCTAGAGATTAATCTTGGTCTCATCAGTCCATCAGATTGTGTTCCAGAACTTTTGCGTCTCATCTCTGTACTTCTTTGCAAATTTCAATCTGGCCTTCCGATTCTTGCTGCTGATGAGTGGTTTGCATCTTGTGGTGTGCCTCTACATTTCTGCTCTCTGAGTCTTCTTCCAACAGTGGATTGTGATACCTTCACCCCTGCACTGTGGAGGTCATTGGTGATGTCACTTACTGATGTTTTGGGGGTTTTCTTCACAGCTCTCACCATATTTCTGTCATCAACTACTGTTGTTTTCCTTGGCCGACCTGTTGGACGTCTGTTGCTCAGTACTCCAGTAGTTTCTTTCTTTTTCAGGACATTCCAAATTGTTGTGCTTGCTATGCCCAGTATTTGTCCAATGGCTCGGGTCGATTTTCCTTCTTTTCTCAGCTTGACAGTGGCTTGCTTTTCTCCCATAGACAGCTCTCTGGTCTTCATGTTGGTTTATCCTCTTCAACAGGAAATGCTGTCTTTATAGGTTTGAACCAGGGATGAAAACTTAGACTAGTCATGCAGAGCTATTTAATGTTTGGACAATCAACCTAAAAGGCAACACCTGGGGAAACAAGAAACATCTGTCAGTCACATGTTCCAATAGTTTTGCTCACTTGAAAAATGGGTGGGTTCAAACAAAGGGAGGTATGTCCTGAGTTGTTTAACACATCTAGATGTGAATACCAGGAAATGTTTGCTGAAATTCTGAACTCTCATACTCATCTTTTGATCTGAAACCCAAATGTCTTCAGTGAACAACAAAAACAAAAGAGTTTGCCTTACCGTTCCAATACTTTTGGGGGGGGCAGACCATGAAGACCATTTAAGGTAATCCATAATAGTGGAATAATAAGTATATGGATCCTTTACATAAGTACCAATTCAAAAATATTAAAATCCTACAATCATTATTTTACTGAATACTTGCTGAAAGTATCAGTGGAAAAATGCTCTTGAGATATTAAGAAACTAATAAAAAAGAAGGGTTATGACATGATTATTGTGCTAGGAAAAAATAAAGATGTTCTGTACACATACGCTTGAATTGTATTTTTGGACAACTTTAATCTTTGCTCTTTTGTTATTTAAGCACCTCAATCTATCTATCTGTTATCAATTGTGAACACAGAAATGATAACAAAGTAATAGTGCTAGTGGAATTGACTCACATCCTTCAGCTGTATTAATAACAGGCAGTTGGTTTGTCTTCTTTGCAGCTAACATCAGTGCTGTGAAATTCACTGTGGAGGTTGTGGATGAGAGCAGAGTCATTGTCAACATCACAGACCCTCTGACCAGTATCCATGAGCGTGGGAAGCAGCTCAGCATCAGAGACATTCTCAAAAGTGACCTCAAGTATAAGATCAGCTATTACAAGTCTGGAAGTACAGGCAAGGTACAGTATTCAGCTGTCAGCACTGAGGCTACATCCACTACTACGTTTTTGTTTTAGAACGCAGACTTTTTTTGTTTCGCCTCCCGTCCAGACTAAAATGGACGCACATACTGTACATACTGCACATACTATGTGACTATTCACATACAGAGGTGTATGTGAATAGTCACTAGATACGCGTTTTCAGTCATTTTAATATAGACAAAGATCAATTCTGATACACAGCTAAAACGCTGGTGTGGACAGAGATCGTACAATAAAACGTACATGGACATATTATGAGCTATGGATGGTCCAGATGTGCTAGTAACTGTAAGAAGTCCACCATAATTCAGTCTTCTCCGAAATACTGTACGCCATTCATAGAATGTTACTCTCCTTGAATGGGGTGGTATGTAAAGTTGTTTTTGGTTTCTTAATGATCAATTAGTCAGGTGACCCATAAATGACCATAAATAAAGTAAATACAAACATCAATACATTTATCTTGTAAAAATAGTTTTTACAGAATACAATATTTTCTCTCAAAACATAAAAAAGGTTTACAAAAAATATATAAGCTATCAATATTTGTTGAAACCAGCTTTCTTCAGTAATTGATATTTTCCCACAAACGGGTAAAAAAGTTGAAAACTACAATTTTCAATAAAAATTATAAACTGTTTAAACCTCATTTTCCAAAACAATGTGCATTCAGATTTCTCCCAGTTACACCCAGTTATAGATGAGTCAAACAAGTTCCTGTCAGTCTACAGTTGACCATGCATGGATTTACACTATTGTATATTTTGTATGTATGAACATTCACTGTATGTTTTTCTCATGAAGCTTTTGTCTGGAAAGAAATATTGTATTCTATTTGCAAACATTTAGAAAATATAACTGTAATGTCAATTAGAAGACTTTGTATTTATGATTATTTATAAGTCACATAACTAATTGATGGACACAATATAAAGAAACCAGAGACAGCCTCAAACAATGCAAGATAGCCTTAAAATGTTTGTTGAATAAAATGAGGTATATTGGAAAAGAGTGATACGTGTTTTCATTTAGTAAACTTCTGAAATGTCTATAACAATATTGAATTCCATTCTCATGTTTGTAAGTCTATGCGTACAGTAAGTGTGTAACCTTATATTTAATGGACAGATTTGATGGTAGTATCAATTGTCTCAGCTAACTCTCAGCAAAAAAGCTGTATTTCTTTAATGTAGCAAATTGCTACAAACATTACATGTAGTTATTGATATTGATGCTTCTTTGGAAGAAATTAATGTAATGTAAATCCATTTAAGGTTAATATATAAATAAGTGTAGGTTCATTCTGAAATAGAGTAACTTCAGAAGCTGATTTGATATTAGTAAGATACAGTATATTTTAATTTGTCAAAAGGTGATGTGGACTCTAGAGATTTAATTTGATATATAAATATGGTAGTCAAATAAATAATTCATGAATGTCTAAATGTCTGAAAGGTAAATTACGTAGATGTTTAAGTGAGTTATTGTAATATTTCCTGTTTTTACCTTATAGAGAGACATCATGTCTGACTCCAGTACGGCAGTGGTGTCAGGGCTGGATGCAGGACAGAGTTACTGCTTCATGGTGGCAGCTTTCATTCCCTCCAGACCCCAAACTACCCAGAATGGAGCCTGGAGCACACAGCGGTGTACAAATGGACACATCATGCAAGGTGCACACACACTGCATACAATACACTAAACAGGGTATGGACATGGGAAGATTCGGAGAGTAACATCTGCATCACAAGACTGCAAAGACTCACATGGCGGGGTTTCTGAAGACATGCCAGTGTTTGATCCAATTCCTGAAACTTGAAAATGCCCATTCTGGCAAGGGGTGATAGTGGGGGGGCATAGCTCAGAATTTATAAATGCTGAGGTCATGAGTCCTGCTTGTGGATTACATGGATAGGAAGTTCTTATGTGCGTCAACTGGAAAAAAGCTTTCCAGCTTTCTTGTAAACAAACAAGGTTTTGTTCACATTCACTCTGTCTCACTCAAACACACATTGTGTATCATTAAAGGCTGACAAACAAGCATTTCCTCTGTCTGTGAAGATTCTCAGTCACCCTGCTCACAGTTATCCAAGGAGGGTTGAATCAAAGGCTGGACCTCGTTGAATATACTTGAAGGGGTTTCATCTCTCATCCAAGAGGCTTCTTCCGTTCTGACTGACTGGCAGGGAGTCCCAGTTACCAAGGTGATGGATACAGCTTGGTTTGTTAGTGCACCTGGCTGTTGTAATGACATCCAATGTCATTGGAGTCATGTGAGTCCAGATATGTTTGCTCAGTCTCTTGGGAAGAGATGACAGGACAGCGTATAAGTGGTCTTGCGGGACTCTTGAGAGATGGTCTGTCTAGTTTGAAGTAGATCGCTTCCTTTACTCTGTCCTCCCCTTACAAGATATGAAAACTGTTGTCCTTGAAAGATTGCCCTTTATCCTTCAGATGTAGGTAAATTGCAGAGTCTTGACCTGACCTTCTGTGTGGTGCCATGCGTTTGTGTAGTAGTTGTTCAGTTTCCCAATATCCAGGTCTGAGCATTCCTCCCTGCATCTGGTGGCTTTCTTTTGTTTGGGTGTGCGGTCTTTTGGGTGTACCGCTATCTGTCTTAGCATGTTCTTGGGTTTAAAAAACACAGAGATGTGGTGTTTGTTGAAAATCCTCTTGAGTTCAGTTTGACATATATATATTCTTCTTTTCCTCATCACCCGTAGTGTTGGTGTTCTTCCTGGATCTTGTGGCTGTTTTCCCAAAGGTCCACTTTGGATAGTCACATTCTTAAAGTGCCTCCTTCTTATTCAATTTTCCTTGAGCTAAGTATTCTACAACTCCAGTGGGTGGTGAAAGTCAAAGAGTAAGTATTGGTCTGTGTGTGGGTTTTCTGTATACTCTATACTATTTACTTGTATAGTATCTGTATACTATACAATGTGGAGACTCCCGTCCTCTCCAAGGACATTTCCTATACTATTAAACATCTGCTTATCTGATTTTTGATATTTTGTTTGTTTTGTGTGACACTAGGTAAAGTGTGTTTCATGTGCATGTTGTGGAACGGGCAATAAAAAAACAAAACGCATAAATATCACAGAAACGACCTGATACTTGGCATAGCAGAGGGTAATATGGATTAAATCTTATTTTACTACAATGTTAAATCACAATATTAATATATATCACGTTGCAGTATATCTTTCAATTAAGTTTACATTGAGAAACTATATATATAAAAAAAAAAAAACAAGATCCGAGTGTCAGTTTTTGACTCATCCAGTGAACTAAATACCTGAATGAATGAGATACTTTATCACATGGATACGTATATAATAACAGGGACCATTTTGCTGCTTAATGAGGGGGTAGGGATGGAACCGCAAATCCTGTGATCACCAGGCAACCTGCTCTATCTCCAGAACCGCAGCTGCCACGAGGTGTTCCCAAGCCATGTGTAACGAAACCAAAGATGGAAATACACATCACAGTGTAAACTGTATTTGTATTAAAGTGATGAATGATGAGCCAGATTCAATCTAACTGTGACTCTCATTGTCCCCACCAGAGTTGAGCCTTGGAGCATGGGTTGGTGTAGTCTTCATCCTGCTCATAGTCCTCATCATCATCATCACGGTGACAGTCCTCTGTTGCAGATGCTGCAGACGAAGAAACAAAACCCTCCATACATCCCAGTCTTCAGCACCTGTTTAGTGTGCGTGTAGGTGTCTTTAAACACAGGGAGCTCTATCTCCTCGCTGTTTCTAGGAGAATTATTTTACATTGCTATGCTCTTTCTTTACAATGTGTTCTGACCATTCTTTTTATTACATATATTAATTACATTAAAAGTTAACATGTGCAGCTTCAAATGACAACTCAAAAGAATTATGCTTTTCAGGTAATACTGCATTTCTGGCATGTATTCGATGTGTTATAACGGCCCATATGGACCCATGCTCATTAGTAGTACATCAAGAATCATGTGCAACTGTGTTTTAGAATATAAAATGGTAACCACAGCAGCAGCTTAAACTGAAAATGTTTTGTCAGAAGCTAATTAAGATTTAACCCATTAGATTGTATGAGTGCACACTAAATGATCACTCCCTCACAACTTTTTCCCCCAAATTTGACCGTCTCTTTTTCTTTTACCCAATATGAACACCCAGCTGTCCTCACACTGTTTTTTCTAACACTACAAGCACAGTAAATTAAGCTCTTTAAACTACACATTCAGCCCATTCATCTCTGCAAATACACATTCAACTATACTTTTAGCCTTATGTGAACTCATTTAGATAAAGTATTCTATTGCTTTTGAGTCGAGTTGCTCTTGATCAAAAGAAAGACAAATCAATAAAACAACATTTATAATCACATTTAAGAATGATGTTCATCGTTGAATTGTGCTTTATTTTAAAGAGGTGGTATTATGCTTTTTGGCTTTTTCCCTCTCCTATTGAGTTACATGTCTTTTTTGTGCATGTAACAGGTTTGTGTGTAAAGTGAAAAAGCCCAAAGTTCATCCCAAAGGGAGTTCCCATCTCCCACAGAAAGCACTGCTCTGAACTGCCTGAAAACAGCTCGTTTGTACTCCAGCTTTTCTTCCACTTTGCTGTGACGTCAAAGCAAAATACTTGTCATAATGCTCGCCTAGCGACTAGTCAGACACCTGTTTTCTTATTGTGGAAATAAACATTTTCTCGAAGCATTTTCATTTCTTGGTTAACATTTCCTGGTGCTATTTTTCAGAATGTTTTTAACAAATGCTTTCAAAAAGTGATCTTGTTCTCTTTTAAGGAAGTAGTTTTCTGTTGCTGATTGAGTTTAATTTGTCAGTTATATTTAATTGTTAATAAAAATCTTCACAGAATCTGTGAACTATAAATTATTTCTATTAGTATAATATTCTAACATTAAATTAAAAGTAATTTCATAGCTAGTTAGCAGTGTTGGGCAGGAACTGTACTAATATTACTTTTCTCATTTTACATTTACTCATTTTCCCATTAACTGGTAGTATAACAGATTACTATTTACAAAACAGTAATAGTATTACAGTTAGCCTACTAATTCAAGTAACGCTGCAGTACTGAGTTACTGAATGCATGGCGTGAATGCGTAGCAGGTCAGCTGCAGTGGACCTGATGTTATTCAAGTCAGTTGTCAACCAACAAGCTAAAGTTATGTAAAAGGAAGAATGGAGAACGAGGGAGATAGATGTTCTTTCGCCCCCTTGTCTGTTGCACTTGTCACACAACCCTGGGCTGAGTTCAACAGCACTGACAAAACGTAGCAAACCGGTACAAAAGGTTTTGGATTGATCTGGCCCCAGATGTAAAGTAACTCCTTCGATCGGCGCCATTGAGCCAATCAGAATTCAGCAAAAACGAGGATCAGTCCAAGTTGGGAGGGGCTACTCGTATCCCCCCACAATAGTGAAAGTATCTGGCCCATCCTCGGACCGACAGACACATGGGCTGTCGGTCCGAAAAGTCAAAAAAATCTCCTTTCCTAACCACCTTTCCTTGACCTCGATGAAAAACATCATGAGGTCAAGGAAAGATGTGAAGGAGAATTCATAAGGACTCGGGAAAAGAGGACCGCTGGGCTCAAAGAAACCAACAGCTCTTTTCTAGGCAACGTAATTATGCAACGGCGGATGTTAGTGACGTAGCCTGAAGATGGACTACAAAAAGTGCATCTTTGACACTGCGCCCTGTGTTGTTTTAATGCAGGCCATCTAAAAGTGGACAACACGGTGGAATATATTAGTAGGCTACTTAACAATCAAGATAGCAAAAAGGCCTGTAGGATACCAGTCACAAAATAATGGAAAGGGTTGTCACATTGAGAATGTTTGCTTATTGTTTGTAAACACAGTGTTTCCCACAGAATGACAGCATAACTGTGGAGAGAGAGAGGGAGCTACCGAGCGAGAGGAGGTGCTGAGCGAATATATGCGCTGCTCATTTTAGATGATGTAAGAAAACACGGTCAGCACTGATAATGGAGTAGCCCTAACCCTAACCCGCCACAAATAAATCAGAGTGGGAAACACTGAAATAATACATTACATTTACTGTAGAGGTCATCCAGCTTGATCGTGGCCTTTATTAAGGTGAGGGTGTTATCTGTGACTGAAGTAAAATCAATTAATTATATTGCTGAAGGCTGGAAACAATCTGAAACACAAACAGTGTTTAAACAGCATCAGATTACAGCAAAGCCAAAAGAAAACAAACCAAAGAAAGAAGGAAACAGAGTCTTATCATAATGTGCATCTGTGCTGCAAGGATTATGCAAATGTGGTCGATAGATTTTATCGTTTGAGTTTGAGAACGTGCGTCGCTTTAAAAATGTTGCCGCTGCAAGGAACTGTGGGACGGCATTCTCTCCTTTCCTTTCATAAAGGATGGTCCGGTGTACCCTATGCTAAAGGAGATATGAAAGGAAGCATTGAGGCTCCTTTCCTTAGCTTTTAGAGAATTCGACCAGCGCTCATCATGGCTGCTACTGAAATACTTCCGGGTCACTTCACTCAGTTGAACCTTCCTAAGCAAAAAAGACTTTCCAGCCAGTGCCGTCGCAGATCATTAGGTAAAACGTAAGAAACTGAAAAATGCCAGCATTTAGGGACATTAAACCCGTTTAATATTAGAAAAGCCATATGAAGCTGTAGGTTAATTGGTTGTCCCTTCTCTTACTTCTCCAAAATCTATAGTTAGAGGACAAAAATTATATTTTCAGAAAATAATAATAAATTATTAAATAAATAATTAATAAATATAAATTTTTTAGGGGTGCTTAGATGAAATTTAGAAATTCAATTTCAATTCAATTAAATTTTATTTATATAGTGCCAAATCACAACAACAGTTATCTCACAGCCCTTTTCATAAAAGAGCAGGTCTAGACCATACTCTGTGATGATATTTACAGGCGACAGAGGCAAGGAAAAACTTCCTTTTAAGAGGCAGAAACCTCAAGCAGAACCATGGCTCAGGGTGGGCGGCCATCTGCCTCCACCGGTTAGGGTGAAGGAGATAGTGGGAGAGAGAGAGAGAGAGAGAGAGAGGGCAGGAGAGAAACAGAGAGAAAAAGAGAGGGATGGAAGGAGAGAGAGGGGAGGGAGGCAGCCTACACAATATACACACACAGAGGTACAGACAGTAAAGGTGATGTTGCTATAGCGAAGCCAGCGGCCATAGTTAAGTGCATCCCTGGGGCCAGAGCGGGCGACACTGAGTCTTATTTGAAACTGCTGGCTAAGGATAAACGTAAATACAGTAAGATTGTTATTCACGTCGGCGGTAATGACTCCCGGTTACGCCAATCGGAGGTCACTAAGATTAATGTTGAGTCGGTGTGTACATATGCAAAAACAATGTCGGACACCGTAGTTTTCTCTGGACCCCTGCCAAATCTGACCAGTGATGACATGTATAGCTGCATGTCGTCATTCCGCCGCTGGTTGTCGAGGTGGTGTCCAGTAAACGATGTGGGCTTTGTTGATCATTGGCAGACTTTCTGGGGAAGACCTGGTCTGATCCGGAGAGACGGCATCCATCCCACTTGGGAAGGAGCAGCTCTCAAGTTTATTAGTGGACCAAATCCATGACAACCCAGAGTTGAGACCAGGAGGCAGAGTCGCAGTTTAACACACTTCTCTGCCCTTCTTTTTCAGCAGTTACCCACCCAAAACCCTACGCAGAGTCGCAGTCTAACACACTTCTCTGCTCCTCCATTTCAGGAGTTACTTAGTGAAAATCCTATAGTGACGGTGTCTGTCCCCCGACCACTGAAATTATATAAAAAGGTAAACAGAAGAGGAGCTGTGCATAAAAACCTCATAAAAATTAAAACCACAAGAGCAATAGTGCAAACGAATAGGAGAGTTAAATGTGGACTCAGATCTCTCTCTTCTAAAGGTGTACTGGTAAATGAACTAATATCAGATTATGATATTGATTTATTTTGTCTTAGTGAAACCTGGCTGGGTGATGGAGAATATGTTAGCCTAAATGAATCCACCCCTCCCAGTCATATTAATACTCACAGTCCTCGAGGCACAGGCCGAGGAGGTGGAGTTGCAGCTATCTTCGACTCTAGCCTATTAATCAGCTCTAAACCTAAACCAAACTATAACTCATTTGAAAGTCTTGTTCTTAGTCTTTCACACCCAAGCTGGAAATCACTGCAACCAATTCTCTTCGTTATAGTGTACCGAGCACCTGGTCCGTACTCTGAATTCTTATCTGAATTTGCAGAGTTTTTGTGAACGGACAGTTAAGTTATTATTGTAAAGAATTTTAATATTCATGTGGATGTTGAGAATGACAGCTTCAGTACTGCGTTTATCTCTCTGGTAGATTCCATTGGCTTCTCTCAGAGTGTTCATGAACCGACTCACTGTTTTAACCACACCCTCGACCTTGTTTCGGTGTATGGTATTGAAATTGAACATTTAGTGGTGTTCCCACAGAATCCCTCTTTATCCGACCACTGTTTGATAACTTTTGAGTTTGTATTGCTGAACTACACGCCATTGGGCAAAAATTTCTATACAAGATGTCTGTCTGATAGTGCTGTAGCTAAATTTAAGGATGCGATTCCATCAGCTCTAAATACATTATCTAGTCACAAAGTAACGGAGGACTCCTATGCTAATTTCAGTCCCTCCCAAATCGATCATCTTGTTGATAGTGCTGCAGGCTCGCTGCGAATGACACTGGACTCTGTAGCCCCTCTAAAAAAGAAAATACTAAAACAAAGACGGTTAGCTCCATGGTATAATACTGAAACTCGCAAATTAAAGCAAATATCGCGGAAACTTGAGAGGAATTGGCGTTCCACCAAAGTGGAAAATTCTCGTTTAATTTGGCAAGATAGTCTTAAAACTTATAGGAAGGCCCTCCGTAATGCTAGAGCAGCGTACTACTCGTCATTAATAGAGGAAAATAGGAACAACCCCAAGTTTCTTTTCAGCACTGTAGCCAGGCTGACAGAGAGTCACAGCTCTATTGAGCCAAGTATTCCCATAGCTCTCAGTAGTTACGACTTCATGAGCTTCTTTAATGATAAAATTCTAGCTATTAGAGACAAAATTCACCAAGACCTGCCCTCAACTGGCACCGACTTATCTCTTAACTCAGGAACCTTAGAAACAGCTGTAGAACCAGATATATGTTTCAACTGTTTTGCTTCACTCAATCTTTACCAACTAACTTCAATAATTTCTTCATCTAAACCATCAACCTGCCTCTTAGACCCCATCCCGACTAGGTTGAGAGAGAGAGAGAGAGAGAGAGATGCCTCGACCGGTTGGGGTGAGAGAGAGAGAGAGAGAGAGAGAGAGAGAGAGAGAGGAGGCAGCCTACACAATATACACACAGAGGTACAGACAGTAAAGGTGATGTTGCTATAGACTAAATGAAAAATGGTACAGATATTTATAGTAGTGTTAATGGTAACAGTCGTAATGTTAATGATTATAATAACAATAGGACTAGTAACAATAGGACTAGTAGTAGTCGTTGCAGAGGAGGGTGTCGAGCAGGAACACGGGGGCAGCAGGTGACCCGCAGCCACAGATCCAGACTCCACAGCTCCAGAGCCAGAAAACCTGCAGGAAGTGATAGGAGGAGAGAGGAGAGGGACGAGAAAGCACAAGACTACCAGAAAGGGGAGAAGTTGTGTTAGTAACATGCAAT